ACAAGATCACCATTAAACGGAATTCCATCAAATGCTCTTTGTCCCGTCGAAACCTCTGTCGCGATAATTCCAAGACTGTAAATATCTGATGATTGAGTGTATGGTTGTCCCATCAAAACCTCCGGTGCTATATACGGTAGAATTCCACAAATATTTCCTTCCTTTGCTTTTTTAGAAAGTCCAAGGTCTGTAATATATGCGTTATTTAAAGTAGGACTTTGCAAAATATTTCCGCTGTGTAAATCACCATGAACGAGTTCTTGCGAATGAATCGACTCAAGATCCAAAGCTATATAGTACAAAATATTTAATTTATCTTTCCATTCTAATTGTGATATTTGTATAAGATTTTGTCGTAACGATCCTCTTAATGCGAAATTCATAACAATAATATAATCGCCATAATCATTCCTTGACACTCCAATACATTCCAAAAATGATGGATTCTCGTAACCAATTTCACAATAATTCTTCAATTCGTGGATAAATTCTTGCGCGTTTTCGTTTGAACCACGAATTACTTTAAGTGCACCATTACCCCACATATTATTAATTCTATCTTCCCAACGTGCATAATATACAGTTGCAAAACCTCCTTTTCCTAATTCACCGATATCTCTGAACTCACTGTAATTAATCCAAGATAATTTAAATCTTTCATCATCTAAAATTTTCTTAAGTTCAGGATTGATGTGGTCTGGCGATCTATTGGTCTTTAAATGTCTTCTATACTTTGTATACCAATAATTTGCCTTCTGAATGTCCCTCTTTGTACCGATTCCGTTTCGATAAAGTTTAGCAACATTTTTCATTGCTGGTTTATTACCCACGTTAGCAGATTTTTTATAATATTCAAATGCTTTTTTATAATCTCGATCAACACCCCTTTCATGTTCATAACACCGACCAGCATTACATATTGCATGAGCATTATCCAAAACAGCAGATCTCTTATAATATTCAAATGCTTTCTGGTAATTTCTTTCTATTCCAATTCCGAATTCATAACAAAGACCAACTTCATTCATCGCATTCGAATTTCCTAAATCAGCTGCTTTCAAATAATATTTAAAAGCCTTCTTTTCGTCTTTCTCAACGCCGACACCATGTTGATAATTGTAACCAAGTGTACAAAGTTGTCCAGAGTCCTTTTTTTTTTTTAAGGAAAATAGATTCATTCTCTAAATAAAAGTATATACTTTAATTGTCCGGAGCGTAGTGGAGGGCATTTATAATTATAAATATCATATTCATGATTACGTATTTTGTTGATTCAATGATATCATTTTGAGCTAATCCAACTTCACATTATTATTTTTTATTAATACTTTAAAAGACTGCGAGGAAAAAAATTTTAAAAAGAATAAATATTGTATAATTGGGAAAGCTTAAATTACGACATTTTTACGCGGGTAACCGTAAATGTGGCCAGTATCGTAATCGGAAATTAAATTACAAGTGTCACCAGATATGTAATAAAAAAAAATTACGAAACCACGATTTCAAGCGATAAATATTTATTTATTTAATATATTAATTCTGAGTTTGTGTACATTTTGACGTTATTGATTGTTCGCGCTCAAAAATGTGATCTGAACATGTGAAAACCTCAGATCCAAGCGTGTTTACTGTACCGTATGATTAAGAATGTCGTAATCTTTGAGATTCTATTTTGGGTTTAAAATGTCTGTAATGAACGCCAAAATTGGAGATCTAAAACCAGGTAGGTATTTAATTTATTAAAACTACCTGGCTTAGATCCAGGGGAGACCTTCCCAAATTGGGGGGTCGCATTAAAAATGTAAGCTTATATATAAGGTAGATATGCCTAATTTGGCGCAGTGCCTAACTCTGCGCACTAACGATATCTTACGAACTGCTGATTAGAATCATATGATTTTGGTACCATTCGATTCGTCTCATCGTGACGAATCGAATGGTACCAAAATCATACGATTCTGATCAATAGTTCACAAGGTATTGTCATTTAGCCAAAATAGCCTACATATAAGATAGATATGCCTAATTGGTACAGTGCCTAATTCGGCGCACTAACGATATCTTACGAACTGTTGATCAGAATCATGTGATTTTGGTACCATTCGATTTGTCTCGTCGAGACGAATCGAATGTTACCAAAATCATACGATTTCAACTAATAGTTCACAAAATATTACATTAGAAATCTTTAATGCGCCGAATTAGGCACTGTGCTAAAATAAGACTGCGATTTTAGATAAACTTTTAAAAAGTGATATCTTGTGATTGAATGATCGAAATTAGTGGTTTTGGCGCTATTTGATTCGTCTCGTTGTGACAAATCGAATGGTACCAAAATCGTCTAATTCCGATCGACATGGCACGTGATATGCATCGTAGAACTTAACCGCGCCAAATTAGGTATATCTACCTTACGTATTTGAAAAAATTTTGTGTATGTCTGCATGCATACATATCCAATTTTTATTAATGAAACCGTAATATTACGGCGAATTACCTTTTTTTAATCCCTTAAATTTAATTAGATTTAGGGTTTTAAATATAAAGGTTCGGATTTTACGAAGCCCAGATCTAATTAATTAAGGGGATTAAAAAAAGGTCAAATACCAAAAATCCGCTATAATGGTCCATTCAATAAGTAAAATGTTCAACTTAAAAAATCATAATATTCATCCTCACAAACTTCTTTCGTAGTTCCATTATAGTGAAATGGTTGAAGTGAAGGAATATCTAAAGAATAAATTACTGTTTAAAAATTTTGTTATAAAATTTTACACAAATGATTTACAAGTTCAATGAAATCCAAGTTCAAGAAAGACAAATGCGGTAACCCTACATAAAAATATTATAATTATAGATGTAAATGTATAATTGCATAGAAAAGATATTCATATTTAACTCTTTTACTCCTTTTCAATAATACACGCATATCAAATCTCAAATGTAAATGTAGATTTGCATTATTAATACGCGTTTTATTTAAACTAAAGTGGATAAGTATGCGTAAGCCTAATTAAAAAATTTTGTCTGGATATTAGCGGTATTTTGCATAGCATTAAATATTTGTAAGAATGTGCATTACGAATGCAATACCGTCTAGATAAACGGCATCCGTAATTAAGGTTCGATCCAGATATAATTCAACTAAATTCTCCAAATATATTGTATAAAAATATTATTAATTGCTGTAAAATTTGATAATAATCATCTTAATTTCATAACGTAATATACGTACCATTTAGGAAACGTCAGTTTTGTATCAGACAAGGATAAGATAGTAAGGCTGAAATAAATAAGTCATTTTCAATAACTCGAAATAATTGATTAAAATGAAAATTCATCGTTTAAAGCTAACCTCTTAGCTCCTTCAAGATACATGGCTTCTGAATCATAAAACCAGTCAAGTCAAACTTTACCAATGGCAATACATACAGTATAATAAGTTTGAGGTCACAATCTAAAAAAAAAGGTAACACCTAAAACTAAAATTCATCAAAAAAGTCTTGTAATATGTCATCAAATCTTCCTTTCGGTTCGGGAAGTTATCAATATCAGGCTTGAAAATTTTTTTCATATTTTCTTTATCATCCAGTTGCTATTCAATCAATATTAATTATAAATAATTCTAAAATTACAAATCTTAAAAATTTTTGATCTTTAGGAGTTATTAATCTTTAAAATGGGGTTTAACTACCAGATAAGCTTCTTAAGCATTAACAAGAATTCCAGCCCAACAGAACTAAAGTGTGGGTATTAAGTATAAATGAATGAAGGAAATTGTTCGTGTATAAACACATTAGCTTGCATTCTAAGAATCGAATTATTATTGTTTATTACATTTACTGTATTTTCGCGTAATAACGCGCATCTGTAAATTATTTCGTTATTTTAGGACGGATAGTACAATATTTCAAGTCATTTTTATATTGAATGTAAATAGATTCGGTATAACAAATATATAATGTTAGTTATGTAAGCAATCTAATTAGGTTCAGATGTGATATCATATATAGGACACGTTGTTTTGAGATCAAATATACAAGTTTCAAAAAAGTAGGAATTTCAAAATAACGTCTATATGCATTATTACGCGTAAATACGGTAAGAGAGAGAACTATTTCTTTAAAAAAAAAAATTTCAAGCATCTTATTAAATGAGATATTTTTATTAATCGAAATAGTGCACCTATAATAATGTAATTTTAGCTATATTCATAAAATTTTGATAAAAATCAATAATACGAATAGTAATGTTGTTGAGTTTCTCAGGTATCATTCTTTCAGTGATTTGCTAATAATTATAGCGACATTCAATTGCTACAATAGATCAAAAAAAATAAACTCAATGTTTAGGTAATCTTAATAAATATTATTAATAACCCAACTACCTCCATTGCTTGTTTATTCAATTTTCGTATATTATTAATATATTGTTTTTTAAGTTTTCTAGTTTATTTACTAGATAATTAATAGATATGAGTAGCATGATCAATAGTAACTACCTGATAATTTTTAGTATAATAGTAGGAACTTTCTAGTAACAATAACGAAGGTTATAACAAAAATATAAAACTGCTTGAACGATAACCCTATTTACTCTAATAGTAATGAAATTTTTTAAAAAAGATAGTTTGGATAAAGTTTGATGATCGGAAAGAAGATAATCACATTAGCACTAACACTATTTAAAAATTATAATCTTTGATATAATATACTACGTGTCCAACACCTTATGATAATACGTAGATTAATTTGAAATTTGATCGTCCGTTATGACCCACCTAGTATCGCCACCAAGATCAGGTACGTAAATCCGGAGCTTAAATTTATTTGCCGAAATTAAAATTAATGAAATACAATAATGACATTTGATCTAGTTATAAAATTTTCCTTTTGGCTAGATTACTATTATTGCCTTTTTCTTTTCTTTTTCTGTCTAATTTAGACGGATTTCTTAATATCTGTATGTCTGGCTCAAAAAACCAGTAAAATAATAATATTATGATACGAAAAAAGTCCAACCAAAACCCCAATCAAAACGAGAATATTAATGCATCTACCGGTGCAACAAACAACATAGCAAAAGGCAAAGAAAAAGAGATAATTAATGTTATTGAGGAGTTGAATATTATTATAAAAAGTTCTGAACAATTAAGCGTTAATTTTCAAGGCGAAAGTCAAGCCAGCCAAACCGATTTAGAGCGATATTTTGAAGTCAAAGAAAAACAAAATGAAAAGTCTAATAATGAACTTTTTCACATGACGCCCCACGATCGCAAAAAGTTAGCTGAAGAGTTTAGCGGATTAGACAGGATTTTATATGAGAAATTAGAAGCAAAAACGGGAACGAGACAAACAAAAACAAACGAATTAGTGATGGGCCAAGTCATTTTTAGCGTTGTTAATACGATACCTATTATAGGAAATGCGGTGCAACTGGCTTCCACTAATGCTCTTTTTTCTCTTCTTGACAACGAAAGGATAGCGAATGAACATTGTTTCACTGTTGCTGAAGTCAAGGAAATTATTAACCAATTAGGAGTTTCTAATATTGTTGATAATACGGAAAAATTGAAACAAATCAAAGAAACTGTTATGGATATAGAACAAGAATTTTTAACCCGAATAACCAACTTACAACAACAATTACAAGAAGCCAACACTAGAGCAGAAAATACAGAAAAGCAATACCAACAGCAAGCCCAAGCCGCAGCCGAGGAAAAACGCAAAAATGACGAAAAACGACGCAAAGAACAGCAACTTTTACAAAGTAAGGAAAAAGCCGAATATGAAGCCATTAAGTTAAGAATAATAATAATAATAATAATAATACTAATAATAATAATAATAATACAATAATAATAATAATACATAATAATAAAAATAATAAATAACAATTTATGTTGGAATTTTTCTTTTAATATTGTAATAAAATTTGCATTAAATGTTCAAACCGCATAAATGAAAGCAAAAAAAAGAAAATGTGAGGATCAAATTTTAAACGATATTTGCATGCAAAAAAAAAAATGCTATAAAATCCGAAGAGCTTGAATATATAGTTTATGAGAAACTTATGGATATTGAAAAAGAAAGTAATATATATATGTTCTTGATATAATCGTAGATATTCTTAAATAATTAATTAATTAGATGTAAATGGCGCAAACGAAACATCTGCAAGTTCAATAGCACTTAAGATTGTAAAGATCTGTGAAAAGGGAGATGGGTATACCATAAAAATATCATAACAAATCAAGACTACTTCGTTTACGTATTGGTGCAATTGTCGCTATGAGCTTGAAAAAAAAAGATGATAAAAATAAACAACGCAATACTGCAATAGGGGACCATGACATCTTGTTAATCCTCTTGGGAAGATAGATGCATCATTTTCCAAAAGGTTTGTTATTTTATGTATAAATTTTTTTTTAAAAAAACTTCTATTATTTTTCAATATCCTTCTATTACAATATTATGGAAGCTAAGAAAAACTTTATGGGAAAATATTCGATCAACCTTAATTAACCAAACACAAGTCAATTTAACGATTAATCTTGTAAATACAGAAAACCAAAATATACATAATGAAAAATCGAGTACTGAAGATATTTGAATTCGAATCTGAAATTTTAAGAAAATATAAAAAAGACTCATCATAAGGTATAAAAATAATTTTTTATTATTGGCTGCTTCGCATCCAATAACTATATATTATCGTATTTTCGTATTTTACATAATAATTTTATGTTTTAGGCGCTTGATTATCTTGAAAAGTCTAACAATCTTCCCAAGCAAAAAAAAATAGCTTCGAAGCATTGAATCGAACTTTAAACCTATTCAAAAAATAGTAGATGACGTTAAAGATTCGAACGAGCAAAGAAGCTTCCAAAAACTTTGAGTGGACGACCTTTATTGGTAGTATTAAGTTCAAATTTAAAGCTTTATACACGTATTAAAAAAAATTCGAATTTGGGTATAAAATGCATTTTAAATATTCGAATCGAATATAATTCGTAATGATAATTATGCAAATTCTTAAATTTTGATAAATAATATGAACAAATAAATAAATAATAAATAAGTAAAAAAACTTTCAATTATTTCTTCAAATTCTCATAACTCGGTTATTCTTGTGCTTAGATTGAAATTTAAAAAGCAATTACGTGCCTGATTTTGGTAGCAGTACGTACTAGGTGCGTTGCCCGTTATGATAAACTGAGCCTCAAGAACTGGTTCTTAAAGACTTACATGATGCATGAGGCTTATCTGCTAAAAATTGTTAGTAGAATAAGGCCGTTCTCAAGCACCTCACTCAATGGATCGGATGTAAAATTTTAATTAGTCGAAATTAAATAAATCAATCAATCGAGTTAACCAATTCGATCAGCAAATCAACCCATCTTTTAACATTAAACCAAACAGTAATGAATGCTGCTATTCCATTTTTCGCTCATATAAACAATAAATTTTTTTTTACTTCTTGTTGCTGTAAAGCAATTTTCGCTAATGATTCCATAAGTTGTTGCTGTTGCGACAAAGGGTTAATATTGGTAAAATCATTAAATGGAGAAATCGACGTAACCGAAGCTGAAGATTCGGCAGTCGGTTGAACAGAATTTTTTTTATTGGATTTTTTAGGCGTTTTAGGCGGCATGACGAAGATCATGAAAAATAGAAAAAGAGTATACTCAAGCATTTAATTCTATAAATATCGCCATTGATTGTGATGCTTGAGCGTCATCACGATCATTCTTTAATCAATTGATTTAGATGCTTGAGAACGGCCTAAGTCCAGTATATTATAAAAAGTTCGAGATGGCTTTCTCTTGGCGTCACTTATATATTCAGTGGGTATACGATGAACAACTAACGGGTACCCATGATACTACCCTAGCCCTACCCGTTTGTGTAAGGGCTTTATTTTTAAGCCCTTACCCTACCCTAGGGCCCAGAAATCAATACCCTAACCCGGCCCTTATGGTACTATTCGCGGGTATCCATGGGTAGCCCAGGCCCATGCGGAGGCCTAACCATAAGGATAGCTGCACAGTGCGTGATGCCATGCAGAACCAGTACAATCTCTTGCTTGCATTGTAGTCTAGAAAGTTATTTGTATAATGATATTAGTTAAACTACTGTTTATTAAACATGGGTAGATGTGCAGTTATAGTTGTTAGATGAAACCTCGAGGTTTCGCACTGATGAAAGTCAAAACCTAGTTTCGACTTTCGTCAATTAAAATCTCAAATGATGAAATGTCAAAACTGTCAAAAGGTGTCGAAACTGACAAAAGGTGTCAAAACTGGCGAAAGATGCCAAAATTGTCGAAAGGTGATAAAAGGTAAAGAAACTGATGAAACTACAAAGGTGACAGAACTAATAGAAGATGATGAAGCAGATAAATGTTATTGAAGATAATATGAAATTACAAAAGCATAAATATATAATAATTACTAAAATTTTATTATATAATAAACAAGTGTAAGGACACCTTAGCTTTCTATATTTTATGTTTATAAAAGGCTATATAATTTATACTTAGAATAGTTTTAATAAGAAGCTTAATAAGCAAATTAATAAAAAGAGATTAATTAATTAAATAAATTAGCACAAATAAGAAATTAATAATAAACAGATTATTTTACATATTTCAGTGTTTCGATTAAAAAATAATTATTGTATATTGGCTAAATTGACTTGAAGACAAATTAGTGCGAATAATAAATTAATAAGAGGTGCATGCATTGTTTCCAAATCTTTGATTAGAAGTATTGTTATACTTGCCAGTTAAATTGATCTAATAAAAAACTTAATAAAAAGAGATCTGTATTATTTCACTTCATAGATGCCACATTTCATGACAATTATTCATCGACAAGTTCATTTTACCAACAGTCTATTTTACTGAAGCTCTTTTACAACATGACTTGTTGAAATGAGCTTCAGTGAAATAGGCTGTCAGTAAAATAAGTTTGTTAGTGGTGGAATGTAGTGTCTATGAGATGATTGTTAATAAATTGATCAGATCTCAATAAAAAGTGGCCTATCAGGAAGTTAATAAGAAACATGGATTATAACATGTTATTGGCTATCAATTTTCTAAAAATTACAGAGTAGTGAAAACATTCTTATTGCTTTATATTATAATTTCTGGTTTTAAAAACTAAATAACTAAATATACAAGCCATATCAAGCCAATAAACAGCTTCAACATTAAATATAAATAAAAAGAAAGCCTCAATAGATTTTCATTAATTTTTTTTTTAGTGAGAGCACCAGAATTTGTTAAGAGTTTTGGCAATAACAGATTTTTTTTAGTAATTTTTATTTTTTCTTTTTTAGCAGGAGTACTAGAGTTTTGTCAAGTTAAGTTGTGGTTTTGACTTTCATCAGAAGGATTTGAGAGTTTTGACTTTTGTTAGAAGAATTTGAGATTTCAACTTTTGACAGAGGTTTTGTCATTTAGGGCTCAGGCTTCAACTTTTGTCATTAAGCAAAAATGGTTTTGTCTAACAACTATATGCACAGTGCATGATGTTATATAGAAGCAGTACAGCATGTACTGAATTTGTGACAGGTTATGTCGATCACTGAATCAAAAGAAATCAAGTGCAGATTTTAATTTACTTTATATTCAATATTTAGTTATACCCATATACCTAAAATCTCATACCAAAAATATTAGTTTGAAGTCAAACCATGGTTATCATAGTAAAATGTTGAGTTATTTACAGTTTTTCTGTTTTCTCATTGAGAAAACAGAAAATCGTAAATAACTCAAGACTTTACTATGATAACCGTGGTTTGACTTCAAACAAATATTTTCAGCACGAAATTTTAGGTATATAGGTATAACTAAATATTGAATATAAAGTAAATTAAAATCTGCACTTGATTTCTTTTGATTAGGTGATCGATATAACTTGCCACAGATTCAGTATATGCAGCAGTACAATTGTATATAACAAATTCAAGCAGCCTATTTAGATTCCTAATAAATAAAATTTTCATTTCATTAGCTATTAATAGATACAATTTTTTTACTAGTTTTATTGGTTTAAAAATCTTTCAGCCTAAATTTGACAAATAAAAAAAATTAAATAGTAAATTGTTTTGAATACTTCAATTATTACATTTTTCATTATTACTGCTTGGTAAATAACTTTATTAACACAGAAGAAAATTCTTCAGGAGTTTTTCTACCAAACATAGATTCTAGGTATAAATTAAAATATCTACCTTAAATAATACATCTATCAAAAGTAATATTCACACTTTATAACAATATCATACATTCATAATTTCTAAGTTAATATGGCTACTATTGCTATATAATTAATCACCAAACAAAAGATTCTTGCACCGCAATCTCTAATCATACTATAAGTCCTTATTTTGCTATTATGATTGTTATATACAAAATATAGTTAAATTTGAATAAGTTGCATTGGAATTATCTTATTATCTTAATTTCTCCTGTATTATGATTATAGTAAAGAATATATTATTGTGGTTAAAGTTGAATTAGTATTGGAATTAATATAATTTTACTATAAGTTACTATAAAATTTTTGTTACAGAATTTACTTAGTTTAAAATTGAATTAGTTGTATCAGAATTATCTTGATTTCTATTGTGATTTACTGTAAAGAATTTACTCTCTAATTACTCTTTAATGCAGTATTCAGTTACAGAATTTACTAATATAGCACACAGTTATTAATATTAGAATTAGTTTGTATTGAAATTATTATGTTTTTCATTATTAATTGTAGCAAATAGCTTGTTATAAACTTATTTGTATTCCAGTGATCACAACAAGTGCTCAAAGTTGAGTTGATTTCTACTATGGATTATAGTAAAATATTTTGTTGCAAAATTTACTTGCTAATATAGTACATATAGTGCTTAAGTTGAGTTACATATTATTAGAAAAATTATGCATAACTTACTTGATATCCTGTAATTATAATACATAAATTAGTTCAGATTTGAATTGTCTTGATTCCTATATGATTAAGATCATGTTAATTTTGTTAATTCTTATTTTTCTGAAACCCGCCTTTCTGAAATACTATTTTCCCCGATCTCATAATACTGAAATCCCTTTTTTCTGACAAGACATATTCTGACAGTACATTTTGCTAAAAAAATTTTTATTAAATTTTTTTTTTTTACACAGCCAATTCCCAACAATCTGAATTTCCGAAAAAAATTTATTTGACAGACTTTAACACCAACAAAACCTTTTCTTTAAACTCCTGTTTTACTGACATGAACTTTTTTTGAAACCTTTTCACTAACAAATATTATAATAAATTTCCCTGAAAGGATGTTTCTCTGAAAAGATTATTCTCTAAAAGCTGTCTCCTCAAAAAGAAAATTCTCAACAAGGTTTCTTTCGATTGAACAAATTTGCAAAATTTTTTATACAATTTTCTCTTAATACTATTTAACATTAACTTTTCTGGTTAGCTTAAAAGACAATATAAGAATCACTATATACCTTTTTTGGGATGAGTTTACCACAAAATCTAAAAAGACATATTCTTAAAAGAACCTAATATCGACAAGGTTAGCCAACATTGGTTATAATATTGGCCTATTTGTCCAGTATTATGTTCTTTCAAGAAAATAGTTTTTGGGATTTTTGTAGTAAAACCTACAAGATCTCAAAAAACAGATTCCCAAAACTAACTAATATCTTCAAAGTTAGCTGGCATTAGTTATAATACTGGCTAATTTAGTCAGTAGGTATTATGTTCTTTTAGAAAAGTAGCTTTCAGGTTTTGTGATAGAACCATTTTGGTTTATCAAGTGACCCAGAATTAATAAGAATAGCTGTAAATCCAGTAAAATATCATAAATCAAAATGTCGAACGAAGAAGACTTGATCAATGGCAATAAAGTAAATTTGGCAGATACGAACGATCCAGACAGAATTAACAAGCTTAGTTATTGCTACGAATATGGAATTGGAATTGAAAAGGACGAAAAAAAGCATTCACGCATTATCAAAAATCAACAGACATGAATGATTCTAATGAAATGTATCAAGTTGCCTATTGTAATTATTTAGGAATTGGAATCGAAATCGATAAACATAAAGCATTTGAATATTATTTGAAGTCTACTGAGGTAAGAAATTTCATGAGAATTCGGAAAGCTGCCATTTATTACTGCTATGAAATTAGTGTGAAAGATAATTGGGATAAAATTTGTTGACTGAGTTATTAAGTAAGTTAATTTTCA